TTAACAAAATTTCTCTATATGTGCATTAGAATTACAGGGCTTGATTATCCAATGAAGAACAAAAGTCTTGGTTTCTAGCCACTGGGATTATAACCTAGAAGGGGAGAGATATTAAAAAGAAAGGGAAAAAAAAAGTAGCCATAGCTACCAGATTAGTTGAAGCAGGATCACTTGATCCCAGGAGTTCAAGGATTAACCACTGATGGACTCCTAACTTGGGAGGTGGCAGAAATCAGGTATGGCCTAGTTGGAGGTAGTAGGTCACAGGATATGCCCTAGAAAGGGATATCTTGTCTCCTGCCCTCTCAGTCTCTGCTTGTCCGCCATGAAGTGAACAGTTGTTTCCTGATACCTTACCACACATGCAGAAGCCATGGAGCCAACTCACCATGGACTGAAACCTCTGACATCATGAGCCAAAGTAAGTCCTGGTTCCCGTGTTTTCTAGAGGATAATTTACCAGTGAGAAAACAGTGAGGTTTTACACATACAATCCTTAAATGCCCCAACATAGAGAGATTTAGTGTATTGCCTTAGGGTATGTGCATCTGAATGGCACAGGCAGGCCTTGAAGCTGAGTTCATATCCCTCAAGTCATATACCCTGCTGATAAAAAAATGAGAGCTCTTGTTTAGATTTAATTACTTTTACATTCATTTATTTCTATTTGTGTCTGTGTATATTTGTGCACGACATGTGTGTGGAGAGGCCTGAGGACAACTTGCAGAACTTGTTTTTTCCCTTCTACCACCTGGGTTCTGGGGATTGAATTCATGTCTTCCAGCTTGGTAGCAAGAACCTTTATCCCCTGAATCATCTCACTGGATATGTTTAAGGGACATACATTTGGAATGCACTGATCACTATATTGCTACTATGCAAAAGACTTCTGGTATTTCATAAAATTACCAATATGCTCTGTGAGAAAACAGGCTCTGATTTAGACTCGAGAAAGACTTAGTAAATAATGTTTCTCATGCCAGTTGTTCCGCACAGTCCCCAGGCCTCACTTCTAAGCTGCCTCTAGCAATTTTTATGTTCTGAATGTAAGAATTCAACTCAGAAGGGGTCTGACAGCTGTGGATTGAACCTCTTGAAAAGTGGCTTCAGGGAGAAGCTTACAATTACAATTGGGCACTAGAACTAGAGGCTTAATACAATAGGGTTGGTACCAGCGTGGGCTTATGATGGTGTGTCATCTGTGACAATAAATGCACACTCATCCCGGAGTCTCAACAACCTTTTATTTTTAGAGTCCAAGCTTTTCCTAAGAAGGAGCATTTTCAGTAGCCACTCTTAGTAGTCATCTGAAAAAATTTTCCATTATTTGTGACATTACAGATTGTAATGGGTGATTTAAAAGAAGTAACATGAACATTTATATAATATCCTGTAGAATCATGAAGTTTCCAGTGATTAGAATTTAGTCATGCTTGGAAAGGAACAGAGGACAGTGACTGAGCAGCACATGCCTCATAAAGGACACCTACACATCAAATGGAGGATGACTAATACCAAGGACCTGAGCACAAAAGATTTTTCCTCAGAGGAAACAATTTAGTTTCTAAAGAGCGTTCACTTCTGACATTTCAATTCCTGATTTCAGTGGCTGCACACTGTGCACTTCTGTGCCACACTTGGGACAGGTAAAGTACATGTCAAACAAGAAGCTACTTTTAACACAGTAATAACAGAAGATGTGCTCGCATCCTAAGGTGTGAGGCATGGTGGGCCACTCCCCACACAGAGCACACTCTTTGCCACTGCTGGCCAGAGTACTGTCACTACTAGGAGCACCGGTAAGAGGGATGCACCAGGATGACAGCTTGGCTTTCAACTTCTGGATATTGAAGAGTGGTAAGAGGAAAATCAGAAACTCAGCAAAACCATGCCAGAGAAGCTCCCTGTTCATGTACTCAAAACCAACCTCACGAACACTCTGGGGCTTGCAAAATACAGAGTGAATGCCAAGGAGGCGTTCTGTCAAAGTTGCAAACTTTCCTCTTTGCAAGAAAATCAAGAAGTTCATCAACTCACATAATTTAAAAAGCCCAACCACAAAATTCATGCCCTTTTTGACTTTCCCAAAAGATGCTAAACGACGGCTTCGAAAGAAATCATAGCACCTTTCTTCCAACCACCTCCCACCAATGGTGCACACAGCGAACCAGAGTTTCTGATTTTCACTTGGTGGCTGGTATTTGAAGTTGGGAGAAAAATCATTTTTGTACTGAATATTCAAAACGGACTGTCCCACAGTAGCATTTTTGGAGTAGACAGTGAATCTCCACAGGAAAAGCCACAGAAAAGCTTTCACTTCTGGTTCAAAGCGAGCTAACAGACCCGGCTGAAATCCATGAAAGCACTGAGTAAACTGGGACCACACGAGCTGCTCCAGGGCCTTGTTCAGCTCAAGTGCATCCAGCTGACTGATTCTGAGCACTCTGTTCGCACTCTCTTCTCTGGCAGCCATGGTGTCTCTGAAGGTGTCTAGAAAAACATAATTGGGAAACATCATCAAGCAGCGTGCTCCTCCATGACCTCTTCAGCTGCTGGGGAAACGAATACACAGGACACATAAAAGATGAGCCCACAGAGAAACAGCAAGCAATCTCTTCTTCATTTTTTTGTCTGTTTTTTGAAACGGGATCTCCCTGGATCCCCAGCTAGCCTACAACTCACTAGGTAAACCTCAGTGGCTTCACTTCACAGAGATCTACCTGCCTCTGCCTCCTGAGTGCTGGGATGGAAGGGCATGTACTACCTATTCTTAACTGGAACCTCTCTCCTCCTCTGTTTTTTTTTTTTTTTTTTTTTTTTTTTTTTTTGCCCCTTGGCCCTTTATTAGCAAAGGAAGGTGAGGGAAGAGACAGAGGGAGGTGAGAATAGAGGGAGAGAGACAGGAGAGTAAGAGCCTGAGAGAACCTATTTCTTGTTTTCAAAGCACAATGCGACATAATACTTCTTGGTCAGCTATTTCAGAGACAGATTTAAAATCATGTAACCAATTATGAGGCTGAATCAGGCAGATAGAGAAATATGAAGTACACAGAACAAGGCAATGGGATTTCTAGCACGCCTACTGGCTTCAAAGGTGTATTGTTCAGGTAGTCATTTATCCTTTTTCAAATGTTCTTTATATATAAAGGAAGTGAGAGAGAAAAATAAGTGAATAATATGTGGTTATTATTCTATCACAGTTATAGAACATAAACAATGCTAAACAATATCAAGACGGGTGAAGAATGCAGAAACTTGGTTACTGAAGTACTAAACAGGCACATGTATTATGAAGTACTCCAAAAACAGAAAATTATGATGTAAAGATACATACCACGATGGTTTTCACAACTATATCAAGGAAGGATATAGATGCTAAAGGAGAAAAAACATTGAGTGACATCTAGAGCTAGAACGAGTGGCTCAAAACAATGGACCCGCCACAGCAATGGAAGCACCGCCTCTGCCACAGCTGCATGCACAGCAGCGTGGACAGCTTCATCTCACTAACCAAAACTATCACCAAAAGCACACCTAGTTCCTAGCCTGGGTCCTCTGCATGATCCCACTTAAACACAGAATCTGAAAAATAGAACTCCAAGAAGTTGAGAGTAAAATGGTGTTGCTAGGGGATGGGAAAGATGGGAGATTTGGGCCCAAAGCGTAGACTTTTGGTTATAAGATGAATAAATTCTAGGGAGCTAGGGCATAGCACGGTGATTACAGTTGAAAACTTAGCACTGCTTGTTTGAAATTGGCCAAGAGAGTAGATTTGTGTCTCGTACACACACACACACACACACACACACACACACACACACACACACGCACGCACACACGCACACACACAATAAGAAGTGATGGTAATGATGAGTAGCGACAGATGTGTTAATTGTGGTATTTATTTACATATGGTATTATTTACACATATGTGTGTGTATATATATATGTCACCATGTTGCTTACTTCATATATCTAGTTTTTGTCAATTACACATCAATAAAGCTGGAAGAAAAAAAAAGTAAAGTGAGCTTTCAGTACACTGAACCTAAATATGTTCTCAAAGCCTTTGACAGGCTCAGGGTAGTGACACACAGAACCCAGGTTTTCAGTGGGGCACGGACCCTGTGGATACTGACTGCCTCCAGTGGGCCCTGTGATCTGGGAGCAGAGATGTCACCTGATCCTCTGCCTTGGATTTCTCACTTACATAACAAAGGGCTGGAGACAAAAAATGACCTTTTAATTCCTTTCAAATTTGAGTAGTTATGATTTTTACCGAAAAAAGGATGTTAAATGTTACTTATTAATTAATGAAAGAACTAAGAAAGAAACATATCCTAAAACAAAGTTGTACTTCTTAAAAGTAGGACTATCTTTCACAATACAGGACATGCAGAAGTTAGTTTTAATAATGTCCACATATCCTAGACTGAGTTTTAGTGGCAGCAGATTTTGTGCTTAAGTTTAAGTACAGGGAACAAAAAGAGCCTGTGAATAATGCAGGTTGCTTCATGCTGTTTTCCAATGAACTAGACATATCAAGAATGAGTCTCACATACAATCTGCATCTAGGGAGAGCTCAGCTTTCCCTCCTCCTGGGGCACTGTCAGTACTCAGTGGCCTCCCGAAATGGCTGTGGAGGTTCCTGCTGCAAGTTCGACTATGAAATCTTTTCCTCATACTTGCCAGGAGCTACAGGAAAGAAAGGAGTTAGAAAGAGGTCCCTTTCGCCACTCTATAATCTAATCTGGACTATCAATTCTCTGTCCAAAATATTTTTTTCTAATCCATTCATTACCCTCTATCTGCTAAAAACATTTCTAAAAACTTCTGGCAGCTGTCCTCTCATCTTGGGCCTACACATTGGTTTTTCTGCCTTCCACCCTTCAGACTCTGTCTACCCCGTGATCATTCTAGAACACAAGCCTCTCCAAACTGTTCCTCAACTTGATTTCATTCTTAAAGCACCAACCCCACACCAGACAGTGCAATCTCTTCTTGATCCTTTTGCATGAAATATGCATCCCCATTCTTCAACTGAACAGCTAAGTGCTGGCTCAAGTACTCCTTCGTCCTGACTACAGGTTTGACTTGACTACCTCTTCTAGTGCTCCCTTAGCATTTCACCTTTTCTTGGCCTGCATGTTTGGACACAATGTACTTTTTAATTATCTATTTCCTCCACTACAGGATAAGCACTGATGCAATGATTATTTGGGAATTATCACAGTTGAATCATAGCAACTGTCACAGTTCTTGGTACACAGAAGGCATTTTATAATGACTTGGTGAATAGAGAAATGAACAGGATGAAAAGTCTAGGGCAGAAAACACAAATTCTACCCACTAACCTTTAAAATTATTTCTACTTACCATATCAAAAATACTAATTATTACTCACTTCACCATGTTTGTGGTATGTCTGCTATTTACCAGCTGTGTTGGAGACAGCAATATAATAGAACAAAAGACAGTTTGAACCAGTGTAGAACCTATAATCTACTAAGGTGGAAGGAAGATTGTAAGGGTATACGATCTAAAACAGACAAATACAGTGATATGGTGCAAGTGACTTTCAAGGGGAAATTCAGGGGACTAGGCTTCCAACTCTACTTGGAAGGCAGGAGGGTAGGTTTCTGGAGAGGCGGTGAGAAGGAGGAGCAGGGTCAGTGTGGTTAAGGAAAGTAAGAACATTACAAGGACAGGGGATGAGGGGGTGCAAGGACCAGCAGAAGGCTGCAAAGTAAAACAGGAGGAACACCCTGAAGGTGCTGGACCAGAAGCTCAGCTGAGGCTGCATTTCACCATAAAGGCCCACTCAACAGACCTAAGCAAAAAGCTAACCAGATCTATATTTTAGACTGTTCTGATCACTCTAAGAATGAATTTCTGCTACCCATGAGAAAGGCTAGTCACACACGAGCACTTTACAGGCTACAGAGATGAGATGATCAGGCAAGAAATCAATGGTGCTGTAAGCTATAAAAGTATCAGTGGGGCCAAAGAGAGAAAGTCTAGACCAAGGTACAAGAAATGACACTATTTAACAAGAATTAAGTAAAAACTGCTGGGCATAGTGGTGCACACCTGTAATCTCAGCATCGAGGAAGCAGAAGCAGGTGGAACTCCGTGTTTGGGGCCAGCCTGGTCTACATAGTGAGTTCCAGGTCAGCCAGGGCTATGGGGTGAGACTCTAATAACTGACTGGGGTATGTGAATGGATGCTGCTCATACATCAAATCAGGCATACAATTTTTGAGGTCAGAAGTTTCTTTAAGAAGGCTCGGTGGCTGTCATGTAAATATGGGACAGAAAATTAAGGTGCCGAGTTTTATAAATCCAAGATCTTTCTGACAGGCATAATCCACTTTCAATTTACCTTATTTGGATAAATGTTAAAACAAGGATGGCAGTGATATATAACAATTCTGGTAAGCCATGTCGCTTCACAACATAATTAATCTTTTTTCCTTTTTGCAAGAATTGTAGTTTCATATTTTTAAATTGATAAAAGATCTAAATAGCTATAGGAAGGATACATGTTTCTTTGCATTCAATAGTTCTATGCTACAGTCTTACCGTCATTATTCTGTGCCCTCCCTGTTCCTCTAGTTTAGTGGTTTTCAAACCTGAGAACTTACCAAAATCACTTACAGGACCTGTTAGACTAGACTGCTGGGCTTCATTCCAAAGACTTCTGATTTAGAAGATCTGGAACAGGACCCAAGAGTTCACCTATCTCACAAATACCCTGGTGGTTCTGAGAGCTGGGCTACTCAATTTCAAAGCAAAATTCATCTTAACTCACCCTTTTCCCCCTTTTTATCACCTGTATATCTCAATACTGCATGCTGTCACTTTAACTCATCTCTGCCTAGTTTGCATCTCTTTACAGAAGCTATTATAAGTCTTTCACTGACTCAGCATTTCTCTTTCTTCTATAAAATATTCGTTGTGAAATTCAAGATCGATTCCACAAAAACCCTGGTCACAACTTGAGCTTGGAACACAGAGAAAAAGATTTATCTTGGCTCTCATTTAAGGACCCCAAGCAAGGCCTATAAGGAGGGCTAGCAAGTAAACAGAAAACCAAGGCCATAGGAGGCGTGTGGCATCATAGGTTCTCAAAGGCATATAAAAGATTAAAAATTTTTCTCAATAAACTACTCCCCCAATTATTATTTTGCTCAATTCTTTCTGCAGTTAATAAATTCTCTCAATGTAATTACATCAAATATGTAGTTGAAGAAAGAAGAATCTAAAGTATTTGATTAGCTAGGATAAATCTTTACCCAATTCAATACAATCATCAACAGTGAACCCAGGATACCCAAGCTGCCAGCACTGTATCCAACAGATTTTCTAGCAATGTAACAGATGAAATACTCGGCTTTCTTTATAGGATGAGTTGTGCCAATTTATGTATTTTTAAGTACTGGAAATGTAAAAATTTCAGAATATGGCTCATAAATACCTTAATATTATAG